TTTGTGTGTGGCAAATATCTTATCCTAGGCTGTGACTGGTGTTTATCACTTCATTCAGGATACCTTTTAGTGTATAGAAGTTTTATATTTTGATATATTTCCTCCCACTTTATGATTTGTGCTTTAAAAATATTTTTTCTAGATTTTTATTGAATTTTTGTTTACTTCATGCACAACATTTTAATCATCTTTATAACCCCTTTTCCATCGGCACCCTCTCATAGCCCCCCACTGGATTTCATGCATTCTGTCATTTATTCTAAAGCTTATTGAGTCAAGTTAGTGTCCCCAGGTGTCCCTCAGTGCAAGTTCATCCACTGGGGTCTAGTCAGCCTCTCTAGAGTAGCTTCCTTAAAGATCAGCTCTTCCTCACCCAGCAGTAATCGGTTGCCAATAGTTCTTCATCTCATATTTGGTCCTGCGGCCCGTTTTCACAGTTCTATGAAGGTTTTTGTCTGCTTGAGTTTGCATGGGTCTTTTATGTGCTGTCACCACTGCTGTAAATTCATATGAGCAAGGTCCCAGGAGCCTATAAGACTGTTTCCATATGGTCATATGCCTCCTCCCCTGGCTCTTACAGTCTTTCTAGTCCCCCCTTCCACAATGTTCCCTGAACCCTGGGTGGGTGAAGTTTAATGCAGGAGCCCTGTCCAAGGACCCACACTCTGCAAACTCTTATTCTCCATGCTTTGGCCATTTATGGTCCTTTGTGTTCCTTGCTCTCTGTTGCACGAGGGAGCTTCATTGATGAGAGACAATGTTCTACTTTGTTTCTCCACTGCTGTGACAAAACACTCTGATCACTACCAAATTGGGGAGGAAAGGGTTTATTCAGCTTATATCTCCCAGGTCACAGTTCATCAGGGAGCCCAAGGTAGGAACTCAGGGCAGAAACCTGGAGGCAGGAGCTGGAGCACAGGCTATGGAGGAATGCTGCTTACTGGCTTGCTCCCCTTGTTTCTGCTCAGCCTGCTTTCTTATGCAACACAGGCCCACCTGCCCAAGGGTGGCACTACCCACAGTGGGCTGGGCCCTCTCACATCACACAACAATCAAGAAGATGCCCCACAGACATGGCCACAGGCCAGTTCAATGGAGGCAATTCCCCAGTTGAGGCTCCCTCAACTTAGGTATGTCAAGTTGGCACTAAAGCTATCTGGCACAGACAGGATGATCAGACATTCAAGACTTTCCTCAGGCTACACAGCAAGTTTGAGGCCAACCTGCAATATATAATACCCTGTTTCAAAATCAAAATCTTGTCATGTAACAGGAAAAATACTCTAACCATTTTTCTTGCTTACTGTTGATTCTAACATGCACATTTTAGGATTAGCTTAGCTTGTCAAATTTAACAAAACATTTCATTAGAGTTGCATTGAACTACAGATCCGATTTTGCGTCCTTCAAACTACAGAATAAAGCTTTCTAACTTTTCAGGAAAATGTTTGTCATTTTCTCCTTAAAGATTTTTTATTTTATACTTCTTTTGCTAAAATCATTCCCAGGTACTCCAAAGGAATTTTTGTAATATGAATTGTTCTCTATTCTAACATCTTATAGTTATCATAGGACTAAAGGCAAAGTATTTGTTTTGTTTTAGTTTTGATATGCTGATTTTGGTAAGTTTTCAGTCTATGTGATCACTTATTATTTCTGATTGTAGCATGTCTTACTTTTTTACACATAATCATATTGTCTGAAAATTAAAAAATGTGTAATGCTTGCAGTAAAGTTTTGAGTTTCCATTAGGTAAAAGAAAGTCTCTTCTACTTCAATTGAACCAAATATTGCTTATTAATTTTCAATGAGTATTGGATTTTTAAATCAAATTCTATAGCTACTAAATAATTGTATTATTCTTTTCCTTTTAACCTGTTAACATGCCATATTAATAGCTTTTAGATGTTGACCTATCCTTGTATTTTGGAGGTAAACTCAACTGATTTTTAGGATAATTCAATTGACTAATTTTTTATTGAGGGTTTTACATCCACTTAAAGTAACCATTCATGGTATTGTTAGCATACAATAAATATGAATGCTTGATATGTACCATTTGATAAATTTTTGCATATATATGTTCTTGAAACCCTCTTACAACCAAAATAATAAAGGCATATATTACCTATCTGGCTCACCTAACTCATCTTACTCATCTTAACTTGATTATTTCCATAAAGACCCATGTTACCCTGTATCTTTTGCAAAGCCATCCTCCTAGTCCTCCCTTCTACATACTGGTTAGTCTTCTTTTCAATGACCTGTTGAACTGTTGATTTGGCTTTTCAGTCTATACTGCTTTGCAATTCCTAGAATTCTACATAAATGGAATAATATGCTGTATATATTTTTTCCTGGCTTCTACCCACCCAACAAAATCATTTTGACCCACGTTTTGTAGGATGTAGTATACTCATAGTTTCTTCTTATTGCTGGAAAGTCTTCTGTCGTGTAGGGATACCATGATTTATTTATCCATTTGCCCGATGATAGAAATGTTGGGTGTTTCCAGGCTTTTGATTTATAAATAAAGTCATCATCATGAACATTTATTTACACATCTTTAGATATATGTTTTCACTTTTCTTGAGTAAGCATCTAAGAATAAAAAGGCTAGATTAAATCAAACCGGGCAGATATTTCCTCTTTTTCTACTTTTTAGGAATCTTTGTATAAAATAGAGACTATCTGCTCTTCAAAGATTTCAAAATCTGATAAAGGTTGACTAGAGGCCCAGTTAAAGCTAGGTTACTGTGGAGAGTGAAGAAGTTAGAGTTCTGTTTATTAATGGTATTGTTTGATGTAGCTCATCATTTAAACAATATTTGATTAATTTTTATTTTATGTGTATGAGTGCATTGCCTGCATGTGTTCATGTTGTACAATGCCCGAGGAAGTCAGAAGAAGGCATCTGATCCCCTGGAACTAGTTACAGTTACCTGCCATGTGGGTGCTGGGAGTTGAACCCAAATCGAACCCAGGTCCTCTACAAGAGCAGTCAGTGCTTTAACTTCTGAGTCATCTCTCCAGCCTCGTAGCTTATCATTTTTATAATTTATTATTTCTTGAAGATTATGCATTTATTAGCTTTTTTCAATGTATTTGAAATTTTCATTGAACTTCTGAATGATCTTTAAAAATCTTTACTATGTGTACGTTTGTGTCAACCTCTTATTCCTAATTCTATTTATGATACCATTTCTTTAAAAGTCATTCCTACTGTTGATTCATTTATCATTATTTTTAAAATATTACCTTTTAATTTTATGAATCTTATGTTTTCAAGTTTTTCCTATCACATTTTCATCATGTATTTCTAATCAGTTTTTAGGTTTACTATGTTTTCTTTTCTCACTATCTTTTTGAGGTTAGTTTAAATGAGAACTTCTATCA